GAGCGTAGATGTCCATGGGCGACAAATCGCCAGTGAAGGGGTTGCACCTCCTGCTGGCGGTGCAGTGGGTCTATTTATATCCCCCCGACCCACTGGGGGTGGTTGTCATTGTCATTGTCATTTTCATTTTAAAAAGTAACAGAACAAAATTGGAAAAGGGGATGCTGAACTTACCTGTGAACACAACAGCTAGCACTAGCAGCGCAGGCGAGGGCCACAGAGGCGCCATCTGTGAAGTTGTGACGTCAGCCGATCACGTGCGGGCTCTGAGCGAGGAGACAAAGGAGACAGAGAGAAAAACACACAGGTTACGACGTATTAATTTTTGTGACAGTTTTACGGCACTTGCAGCTACGCAAAAAAGGTCATATCTTAATTAAGTGTCGAAGGTTCGGGGTGTTACTAGAGTTTGTTTTTAGTTGTTTTTTTTTTGTGTTTTTAGTTGCTCCTTTTTATTTTGTTTTGTTTGTTTTTTAGATTTTTTTCTTTAATGTAGGTGTTTTTATTTCTGCGCCCTCCCTTAAAAATTAATAAACGAATGGATGAAAGAATGAATGACATGATAGACACTTTCGATCATTTAGGAGACGTGGACGCGAGCCTGCCTGTAGGCCTACTGTTAGGGTCGAGCCAGGCTGAGAGGGATACAATGTACAACATTCCAACAGAAAAACCGAGACATTCGCTAAAGAAATATAATGTTCTCCCAACTCAGGAATCAAACTTGACTTGGGTCTCCCTCTTCATGCGACAGCGAGCTGCTGCTTCACTCCATTAAAGTGGCCTGTTTAGATCTACTTGAGAGTAATGTAGAATCTACTTTTTTTTAAATTATGAAATTGAACAGAATTTTTTCTTATATAAGCAGGGACGACATATAGCTACCTCAGAATTATAAAGTTCTATCTGACATTTTTTGGCTGTTTTGAGTAACTAATTAGAACCATGAGATCAAAAACTGAATTATTTTCTCTGCTCTATCAAAATCGAAAGATTGGTCGGAGTCGTTAAAAAGATATTCAAAGCATAATTTCATTCGAAAAAGTGTGACATGGTGCGAAACTCAAAATCTTTGACGTCAAATTTCTCAAAACTAGGTATAGTACTGTGCAGATAAAACTTTGTGATTCTGAGGTAGCGATTTTATGTTTGAAAGGAGAGAAGGAGCAAACCACAAAAGAGCACCTGCCAACCTATCACAGTTAAGCTGTTCGTACTTTTTAGTTTAAGTAGGAGTTTTAGGGCACTTGAAACACAATAATGTCACATAAGTGCTGAAGAATAGATGTGTTACAAGAGAGTAACATATATAAAAGAAGGAGGAGAGATAAGGACCATAGATATTTGATAGGGAAGAAGAAGCAAACCACACCAGAGTGCCCGCCAACCACCCACGTTTGTACTTTTTGCTATACAAGATTGCTCTCGGAGACAAAAATAATAACTATGGTCCTGGAGTACCAGTGGGGGTGAGGAGAGAAACTGGGGACAAGTGGGGGGAACGACCACAGCCGGTGCAAGGTCAACATTCCCCCACCCCATCCATCGCTCTCACTCGAACATTCACACTTATACGCAAACATGCACACAAGTACACTCACATACACACACACATACATTCTTACACACACACACACACACACACACACACACACACATA